TGGGTCTGATGCATGGAGAGCCCTCTCAGCTGCTGTCAGATGACTCAAATAGCAAGCCCTAGGGGGAAGCTATCTTACAGATTCACACATTTGTATACCCACAGCCTCACACAGACACACACACACACCCTGACAAAACTATGCATTTTGTTTCTGTACAGACACATTCCACTTGCATGTTTAAGTAAAGATGTGGTTGTTTAATGTGGGCTTCCCCCATAGATCTCTTAGTATGTTATTATTGTACTCCAAATCATAACTAGCCTATAGATTCACACACACACACACACACACACACACATATGCTCACACACCCCAACAAACCTATGTATTTTGTTTCTGTTCAGACACATTGTACTTACATTTTTAAATAAAGAAGTAGTTGTTTAATGTGGGCTTCCCCCATGGACCTCTCAGTATGTTATTATTGTTTTCCAAATCATAACTAGCCTATACATTCACACACACACACACACATCTGCTCACACATACCAACAAAACAATGTATTTTGTTTCTATACAGACACATTCTACTTGCATGTTTAAGTAAAAACATGGCGACTTAAAGTGGACTTCCCCCACAGACCTCTTAGTATGTTATTATTGTTTTTCAAATTGAGTGCACAATAACTATCCTATAGAATCTATAGGATAGTTATTGTGCACTCGATTTGAAAAACAAACAAACGTTATAGTATAGATTCATCATTCATTCACTCACTCACTTTCCCTAGCATTATGGTCTTTCCTAATGAGTCATGTCTTCTCATGTATGACAGCCTCAGTTTAATCATCTTGGCTTCCAGGGAGATCTCAGGCCTGATCTGTAGTAAAGGTAAAGGTAAAGGTTTCCCCTTTAACATGATTGTCTAGCCATGTCCAACTGTAGATGGTGATGCTCATCTCCTTTATTAACCTGAGGGAGCCAGCATTGTTAAAGACAACTCTGTGGTCATGTGGCCAGCATTACTGATCTTGCACTCATCAGAGTCAGCATTTTAACCACAAAGCCACCATGTCACTAGATCTGTTCTAGGACCGATTTATTTGTTCTAGAACCCATTTATCATCAAGGAGGGGGTCGCTGTCTAGGGTATCCTCAACACTCTTCTTCATCACCACATCTCAAATGAATTGATTTTCTTTTATGCATTTTCTTAATTGTCCAGCTTTCGCATCCATACATGGTAGTGGGGAGCACAATTGTTTGTATGATTCTAACTTTCATGCTTAATTGTATATCTTTGTAATAATAATAATAATAATAATAATAATAATAATAATAATAAATCTTGACCCTCTGCAAAGCAATTGGGGTGGCTTACAACATTAAAATTAAGCATAAGCTTATGGTACAATTCAATAAAATCAGAGTCTAAAAATCCAAAAACCCACCCCCCCTTAAAAATCATAAGTTAAAATATTTAAACT